CCCTCATGCCCAGACTGCCACCCTATCCTCCTCCCTCACTCCCACCCTGCTCCTGTACCCACCCTCCCCCATCTCATTCCTGCACCTTCCCTCACGGCCAGCCCCCCACCCTAGCCCAGTCCTGCACCCGTTTTGTGGCCAGGAGTGGTTGGCTAGTGGTCCATGGAAAGGTCTGCATGGAACAGGGTCGGCCGCGGGCCAAAAAGTGAGAACCACTGGTAGGTAGCTGATGGTTCGCTAGCCATTGGGAAGCTGTATGGCAGAAAGCCAGACTTAGAAGTCTGGCTCCCCTTCAGTTTGCTGAGTAACCATGACCTGGTCACTTGATTTGTTTGTGCATCAGTGTAATTGCCTGTGAACTAGGCCTCATACTCATCTGTCCTATAGGACTCTGGGCGGGCATAATTAGTTTCCAAAGCCCAAACTCAGCATTACCACCACTACACTAGTGAGTATAGAGGAAAATGGGGCTAGTAAGAGTTGCCTACTGACGCAGACTTTTACACTGTCTAATATAGCTTGACCCAGTCAAACAAAGATTCACTGAATCCCTATAGGGCATGCAGGTTATCCAACTAAGTGAGCCCCCCACAAGAATCATGCCCTACGCAGCATTGACCATCCACCACGAGACCAACAGTGGAATGGCAATCAATCAGGATTAAATATTTAGTAGACGGAAAGGCTGTGGCAGGTTTCCATTCAGGCGTGAATTTTGCAGCCTGTAGAGCCTGTGGTTAGGGGAGACCCCGTAAAAAAAGACTCTTTGGTTACAACATGGAATGAACAGGCCAACTGGATTCCAGAACGTGGAGGTACTCACCACGCCTATGGAACACTCAGTCCTTGGGTAATTTGCCTTTTTTTCTTTTTGCCCTCAGAATAAGCTCTGTGTCCTAGCAGGTCTCTGCAGTAATTCACATTGACCACGGTAACACCTCCTAGCGAGGGCAGAGCTGATTAACCGCCGGCCACCCTACCCTGGACTCTGCCAGATAACCACTTGAGACACTCCTCTTGATGGCTCTGATTAGATCCTGCTCAAGAATTACATCGGCTGCGTTTCCCCTGCCAGCATATTCAAATCCTGGAAACGTACCACTTTCACATCAGGAAAAAAGAACTGACCTTACCAGCAAGGTTAGCAGATGAAACAGGGTCCTTGCAGGCTAAACCCTCCATTCTAAGGTTCCCTTGATATATCACACTAGCCAGGTAGGGGGGAAGAAAAAGCCTGCTTAAATGCTGATAAGTAAATTCAAAAGCATCCTTAGTAGGGCTTTGAATCACTCTTATCTCTTCAAACAATATGAACTAGAAGTTATCACATTTAAAGTGTTTCATATTACCCTTTTAACATTACATCCAGCTCTTAAAGCCAAGCACTGCCGCTACAACTTTAAAGGACAGAGGAGTCAAACTGAAAGGGAATTTTAAACCGTGTATATTGTGTAGTTAGCCCCTCAAGTCAAAGCCTCGTAATCCTACGCCGAGAACAGACGCCAGCCAACTTGTTAGAGCAGCAAACCCAACGGAGGCGATGCGCGTCTGGCTTCCTTTTCCACATCCTTAATGTTTGCTCTGACTGCGTAAGCAGCATGGAACCATTTCCCTGACACAAACTTGGGAAGCGGCTAATTTACTCCACTTGATGTCCTTCAGAATTGTGGCTATTAAACCGTGAGGTTGGTTTTTTTTTAAATGATGTTAGCAGACCACACGTCAGAGACTTTTAGCTGTTCAGAAAATAAGTACGGGTGTTGTTCAACGTGTGGGGAAAATACTTCTCCAATGTCAGCCCACTGTCTTGCTGATATGTCACATGGGAGTGTGTGTGTGTGGTGGGGGAGGGGGGGAATCAGATCTGCTATGGTGTTGGCTTATGAGAAGGAGTTGGATTTATCACAGAAGACTGTCATCCTGTAAGACAGATCACAGTGACTGGCTATGGCTACTTCTGCAGCCTGTAGTTTTAGGACTATCAGACACTGATCAGTAGGCTAAATTGCTTCCTACTAAGCATTAGCCTGTTAATTGACATACTACTGTTCAACACACTATTCTGCTGAAGCCTGCTTCCATAAAGCCAGCCTTCTCTATACTGTGTTGTAATGCTTCTCTTCCTCCCCCTCCTAGGGCACAGTACAAATGTAGAGGCTTTGTCCACCCCCGAAACAGCTGATTAAGTAGCACTATTTACCGTTGATTCTTTGTAGCTGGATTTCCCCGCTCAGCCACCCATGCCCTGGTACGCTGCAGGGAGACCTGAGACTGTTGCAAACTTCACAGCATAAGGTCATGATTTGGATCCAAGAATAGAAAGAGCAATAGTAAGGAGTCAACAGTGACATTTACTAAGTTTCTGCCTGGAAAATTTTGACCAGAGAGCTGGAAAGACAGGCGGAAAAAAAAATCAATATGCTTCTCTGATATCTACGAATCCTGCTTTCCTGCAAGCGGACATGAAGATCTATACATCCATGCTACATACATTTTCTAAGACAAAGTCAATACTCACCGTGACACAGATATTTTATAAACCTAAGAAAATGTTAATATTTTCTGCAAGGGATGGTAACTGTCCTCCTCCCACTTATCAAGAGGACCACAATTGGACCGTGGCCAGCAAAGGATCGTAATGCAAGACACTTATAAGTTTCAGCACTGACATTTCCATATCGTTATGCTACCATGTTACTGTTCCACAATGCCTGCTTGCAGCTGTGATGTTTGACAAATCTCAGAGGCCTAGTGTAAAAGAGAAAAGGAGACTGGTGCCAACTTATTTTTCAAAATAGAGCTCGTGTCTATTGCCTGGCTTCAGTGCACCGGGGTAGGTGAATTTTGGAAACCCTTTGCCCAAGAACTGATCCATTTTCTAACTGTATCTTGGTTATAAGATCAGTTTGATGTAACAATCTATTTGGGTTTCACTAAAATATAAGTGCCTTTATGCTGTAACTAAGAGAACGAGTATTCAATCTCCTGCATTTTCAGTCAGCCTCCAGTATGAACTTGAAAAAAAGAAAAGGTTTTGCTTACTGGTAACTTTCTGTTCTTCATATTTCATGATACTTGGGTATAGCATTTGGATCATGCCCTCCTAGCAAAATAAGTCAACTAGAGGAAAAAGAACAAGAGGACTGCTTCAGTCATCATTAAAAAAACTCTCTGAATTCAGCCTTGATAACAGTTCGGAACTCATTTAAAAATCAGCATTAGCCATACACACAAAAATAAAGTATTCGATTTTATTAAAATGCAAATCAATCAACTAATCTGTCTTTCAGGTAACAGTTGAATAGCAGGATCCGTGTCAATTAAAATAGTTTCCAATTTATTCTTTGCTGGAAGGAGGGTGGTATCTTGAATTATAAAACAACCTTGTATGATTATGTATTTTATACCATCTCTGCTGCCTCCTACCTTTCATCTGTTCTAGTTAATTAAGCCTATTTGCTCTAAATATTTTGGAGCAACTGATGTTTTAGTGTCATGGAAGGTGTACCCATAGTGGGGAAACCCAATATTGCCATCAATGCTGGTATACTGTCATGTTTATAGAAAGCCAGTATTAATGAGCACACTTGCTGTCACCTAATGTTTTAAATTCCCAAGGAGGTTATGTTAGAAAGAAAGCCTAAATTGTTCCTGCCGCGATGTACTAGTTTGTAACTGGCCTGCTTTTCCAGCAGAGCAAAGCTCTCAACAATTCCCACAGAGGTCAAAACCGACCACCTACTTAGGAACCTTCCTGTCAGTATTTTTGAAAATTCTGGCCAGCGCTTTCATCCAGCCTTCCCCCCCCCTTGGATGAAAATTTAGAGGTGATAAAACAGAACAGTCCTTGCAGCCCTTGCCTTATTACAGCCTCTACAAAAACACCGAAGCAGATGAAACAGATTTAAAAGATCAAACAAACACGCAAAAAGAGAAATTATGTATGTAAGTTTTTGTAAAAGTGCTTTGGACTTCCTCCAGATGAAAAGCCCTATGCACATGCTACTAATGGTCCTTATTAATTTGCCACATACTACAGCAAGCCAAAGAATTGAGGTAAGCTCTCATATTCAGATGGGGACTATATTAACAGTATTGCAATCTGCTTTGTTAGGAGCCACCTAGTCAATGTGACTGATGATTCGTGGTGGCTCTACCAATTAAAACAGGGGTGTGAAAACCAGGACTCATCTCACCAACTCTCAAACTGCCCTTGTGTCAGCATCCTCTTCGATTCTCAGTCCAGCTGTGAAATGGTTAGAACAACGCTTCCTGTCTTGAGGGGTATCGTGACATTTAAGCAGTGTTCACAGAGCTCTTCAAGATCCCGACACACAAGATGCTCTGTAAATGTAAATGAATGACCCAAAAGAATACAGATTCCTTTGTTATTTATTAAAACAACAGTTTAAAGACTTTAAAAAAAACCCCTACCGAATAGAGTTTCTTAATTAAACCAGCATATACCCCTCAAATCCACTTTCAGACACCAGATGCATCCACTGCACTGTCAAACCTTGGTTAGTCAACTTACAAGCTATTTTAATCAGGTTATTTAAAGAACAAAACAGAGCCAACGCAGTTAAAGAAGCCAATGCAATGGCTATCTCGCTATTATACTACAAACATATGCACACATTATTTATGCAAGATAATCTTCATCTGAGATTGGTCACAGCAGGCTAATAAATCCCCCTTACGGGTTTTTAATTTTCAGCTTTTGACCTTCTGATGGAAAAAAAAAAAAGTGAATCATCTCCTCTTGCCAGATTTACACTGGTGCTAACCTCTCTAGAAAGTGTGTCACTAGTCGATAGGAAGGGAAGATACCTCAAAGAATCCTGATCAGCAGAAATAATTCTGTGTAAGATCAATGCTGGACTGAAAATTCACATGTTCCAATTGCAAAAATACCCCTGGTCGTGCGCATGTATTCGGCTGGGAGCCATTCCACGACTGATCGTTTGTGCATAATAAACTCTCCTCTTGGAACTCTGAAATTCAAGCTACTGGTGGGCTCTAGGGCACCTTTATTTTGGGTCACATTAGCAACATTTTAGCCCTTGAGGCTCAGTAAATGCACAGCTACAGCCTTCTAAACCACAGCAGTTGATCGTATCTTTCAAACGAAGGTGCAGGAAGCTGGGGTAACAGACCCAGGTTCTGCAGTATGATAGGTTTACACTGTCCCAGTTGGATCCCCACTAATTTCAAGGCGATTCTAGACAGGCATAAGAGTGTAGGATCAGGGCCAGAAATACAAGATGATCAAATAAGGAAGGGCATTTTATGTTCGTTAACAGGCATGAACAGATTCTAAATTAAACTGTAAAATATGTATGAGGTGTCCTCTTGCCGGGGTACATGTTCTTCTTTTCCTCTTAACTCTGATTTGATACAATTCAGCTACGGGGTCTGCACAAAATAAAACAATCCCCAGCAAATTACAAAACGTTGTAACAGACATGACACTTTCTGACAAACTTAAAGAAAGGTGTTAAGCACTTCCCCCTCCCAACAGCCCACTACATTTCAAGGACTTGAAATCCATGTTTTGGGCTTCCACGCAGATTAAAAGCCTCAGTGAACGACACTGCAGCCAAGGTTACATCATCAAGTGACCCACAGAAGTAGAGCAGTGATCTACAAACTGCCACGTATCCCACGGACCAGCTGTGACAACGCGGAGGCAGCTTCTGGCAGCATAGCGGCATGAGTCCAAAATGTACAGAAAGGATCCCCTGGGCATGAGCCAAATGCAGAGAACAAAAGTCTGTGCATATGTTTTCCTTCTGCAAAGGCTCGATGCTAATTCTGCTTGGGTTCTTCAGGACGCGTGATTTTGCCAAACAACGATCGATAAAGCTCCGTCCTGGGAAAAAAAAGGAGAAAGAGGGGGAGGGGAGTAACTTTTCAAGGTCAAATTGGAAGCAAGAGGCAGGCAGTGCTACCAGCCGCTGCTTCAAATGAAAAGGCCAGTGTGTAATTAAAAATGCATTCAACAATCTGAATT